CCTTGTTTTTCACTTTGAAACATAGGTGCATATAATAGTATTGAGTGCTTCTTTGAACCAAGTAAATGCATCTGTAAGACTTTGATTCTGTCTAATGTGTAGCCCCACTGAAGTGACTTTTCCATAGATACATGATGTGCTGGATTTCAGCCCAGTTTTCTATGAGCATAAATACATTGAATTGTTTGATATTGGAATATTCTCTTTCAAAGCATGTCATTAATGTTTCAGCATCATCGCTTAAAATATTTATAGAAGTGCTGATTTTATTAAAAGATCGTTGTCATCACATGTTAATAAATAATTATAATGTAAAATATATCAGTTGTTAAAGATCAAATATTTAAAATCATGAGATTATAGCTGTTCTTTATGCACAATTATTTAGATGTTAGTTCTATAGAGCAAGTAAGACTTCTATCTGAATTAGCACAATTGGGTTAAGGATGATCTTTCTTCAGCAGTTAAATCTTCTTTTTATTTGTCTTTTTAAAAATATCTAAACTGTTATGGGACTAATTTTACATGAAGAACAGGATAAAGATGCTCGAAATAAAAAAACAATAAAAAGTTGATTCAAGATATGCAGTGAAATAAAACGTGATCAGGATTGTGCCAAGCTTCCTTGTAATTTTGACAGCGATTGCCTCTTAGAACATAAGAATTCTACTTTTGTGTTGGTCAAAACCACTTCTGTATTAAAAAAGCAATTAAATTTTATCCTTCAGGAGTTTTAGTGCTTTCTTTAGCTGGTTCTTAGTTTGCCTCTATGCTTTGATGGACCTTTGAGGTGACATCACATTAGAGGTGACGTAGAGAAGAAATTGCTCCATCAGGAAGCTTGTTGAATAATTCATAGCTCTTCAAATTGCATATTGAATCAAAAGTCTGTGAATGTGTTTTAATACCTTTCCTGCCGTGAAAGGAAAAAACTAGTATTTTCAGCATAATTTTAATGCAATTATCATTTGTCCCAGTTCTATACTTACACAGGTAGGTGGAGGTATAGAGAGGGCCAGTAGGGAGTTAGATAGTTAAGGTAAAGGTTTTAAAGGTTTATTTGGCACTATGGCAGTGTTTTTTAGGCATCAGGCCCTATTATTTTCCATTGACTCCATCATCATCATCATCATCATGGAATCACACAGTTGAAAGGGGCCTAGAAGGTCCAACTGCCTGCTCAGTACAGGATGCGAGTCTCCCATCCACATTCTAACCATGCCTGACCCTATTTAGCTTCCAAGATTAGGCAGGATCAGACACTTTGGGCTATATGGAAGCAATTATCATCATCATCATAATTATTTGACTTTCTTAGTCACTTGTCAAAAAAGGTCCAAGACAACTTGCAACAAAATAAATGACTTCCATTACAATTTCAAAACATAGTAAACTAACTATGAAAGCAACCTACAGAAATCAGGCAAGCAGTCAGAGAAGAGGGTCTAAACTCAGTATTGCTCTAAGCTCAGTACTTAGTATGAATTTTGGAGCCTCACTGAACAGTGGTTGTGTCTGTGGTACCCAAAATGATTCTTTTCCATGTGTACAACTGCATTAAAGAATGTTCCTCAAAATAATGAATATTGGACAATCCTACATTGGGAAGCTGTAGCCCAAGCAGCATTTTATTATGACACTTGGAACTGGTACAGTTTTTTTCTTGCATCATTTCTGATCTATGGAAACTTATGGTTAGTATTATGAACTCATATGAACAACCATTTCAGCATCCCATGCATTTGTGAAGATGTGGAATTTAAATTTGAGATGGGTTCCAGTTCATTTATGAGTTGTGCATAGTTCTTACACATCTTTGCTAATGTGCCATATTGAGACCGATGATGCTGTTTCCATGTAGGTTACCCTACTTGGCTTTGATCCAGCCTGTTAGGTTAAAACCAAGACCCAGAAAATCGGATTATTATATCCCAAGGGAAAGGAATGATAAGCAGTGTATGATTGTAGATCTACTTGCCATGCTGTATTGGTGGTGTTTGATGTGCTGTTAGATGCAAAGCCAATTTGTTAACAATTAGTACTCATTAGGATCATTTCCTGGTATTGATTAAAAAAAACATTTTACAAAGCACATTTTGAAAATAACAAAAAACAGCAGTGCTTTATCAATTAAACATATTACAATCCAATGTCAGGATTAACTTGACTGATTTCATTGGCTGTAAAGTAATTATTTTTTGCACCAGAGTTCACCTGGCATCCCATTAAGTTTAAGATGTTTCAAAGCAAGAACCAACTATATTTAATTAGTGCATGTGTCAGATGACATTCGTTAGAGACAAGAGAAGTCCTGGAAAAGGAGCATGGGTTTGTCATGGTTTGACGTTTTCTTTACAGAGAATTCTTACAACATTGTGTGCTGTGAAACCCACAACATAGGGTATTGATTTAAACATGATGGATCTGCACTACTTTTTAGGATTGAAATTTAATTTTAAATGTGCCCTTGCTTTTATGCACTGGTGAGAATTGTGGAACCATTAAAATCTAATTGACAAATGGCAAAATTAGGCTTCATGGAAAGCTGTAAGAGAAGCTTTTTAATATTTAAAAATAAAGCTCTGATATATAATTGCTTACATTCATATTCAGATTAAAGCTCCATTCCTGTTTGCAGTTATGCAAAAATGTATTCCTGTAACGTAAATCACGGTGAAAGATTTTTGTCTAACACCCCAATTCTTAAAATGTTCATTGTATAGAAGTCTTAACCTTCAGCCTTTTTTTTTTTTAAGTTGCTCTGGCATTATAATTCCTGAAGCCGAATTAAAGATATTCATATTCGGGAACAGGCAACATGTGATCTCATCAAAGGCAGTTGAGCAAAAGGTGCCTGTCCTCAGACACAAACTGGTCATCACAAACCCCCTTATAGCTGATCGCAAGGGAGAGAATCAGCTACATGCATGTATGGGAACGTCATACCTCCAAAAATGCAAGCGACTGTATTCCTGGTGCTGGATATAGTGATTCCAGTTCCTGCAAATTTTGAAGCAAGTCTGTATCCTGAAGACCCATCCAAGAATTCAAGATACTTTTCCATATGTGTCTTGACCCTGGTTTTACAGGATTTGTAACCTTGTACCATGATCATAAACTCAGTTAATCGGAGCAGTGTTTCACCAAAACCAGTGGATGCCATGTCCCAGCCAGCATATGAATAATGCACAGCTTAATTTCTTTTAAAGCTCTAAGCAGCTTGGGGCTGAGCTATGTGGGAGAGTATTTACTATATGAATCTGCACCCCTGTTAAGAATAACTAAGAGCCAAACTACAATCTAGAACTGCAATGAAACAGCTGAGAAGACCGTTTTTTGTATTCTGACATATGTGGACATGTTCACTCTCCAAATTGGGATCATAGTGCACCAGGAAGAAAGGATTAAACTTGTTTTGTCCCAAAATCCCTCCTGTGTGGGGGTGGTAGGGGATTTTTTTAAAGTTAAAAATAAGGCATCCATTGGATACACCTTTTTCTTAAAAACAAACAAATATGCATATGAAGAGAGTGGAATTTTCGATCTATGAGAGTAAGGAAAAATAACAGCCTTAGCTCCCCTGATGTGATTTATGGAAAATACGTGTATAGTTGGCCCAGTTGCAGGCCTTTTCAATGTGCCTAAATTATATGTAGAGCAGCAGGGCCTTTTCTGTGCAGCACCATATATGTAGGACAATGAAATGATATTTCTTATCTTTGTTGAAGTTCCCATAGTGTCTGAAAACCTCTTTCATCCAGCATTTAACTGCTTTGCTGTTTGAGTTATTGTGTTTTGATAATAAGAGCTCCTCTGGGTGTTTTTATGCTCCTTGGGCTAAAGTGGGCTTCCATTTGAGTTGGCATGTAGCGGTTTGCTCCGGGAGTGTAATATTTATTTCAAGACGTTAATGATGGGGATTACCTTTATCTCGTTTCCTGTTTTCCCTCTTTTGTTTTGTTAGCCACTTTGTGTTCTTTTTAAAAATGTAAACAAAATAAAATTATACAGAACGCGAGAAGCATGCAAGGTTTTGATATGTGGCACAGTACTTGTAATTTCTGTTATGGAAGTACATGGTTCACATCTTGGATTAACATCATGTTCATGAGGACTGAAGATATTGTGCTACGAGCAGATTAAAAGCTAAGTAGTAAATAAGAAACGTTATAATAATGCATCTATATAACATGGCTTTCAAAGAATACACTTCCTTCTAATTTTAGCATTTCAGCAGATTTGGTAACACAAGGCAAATGAAGAGCATAGTAGAACCATCTGGATTTGTTTTCTTTTTCTTCCTTATTTGCTTCAGCTGTTAAGAAAAAAATAGTCTTTTTTCCATTAACTTTTTTTTTAAAGCTTATAACTTTTTTGGGGGAAAAGTGCCTTAACTCCATTGCCCAAGGTGAAGACCTGCCCTGACCCAATCTTGTTTCCCAAAGATAGCTTCTCCTGAGTGTTCCTTTTGATCCTAGAGTAAAAGGCAAGTGTTTTTCTTAAGAAGTGTCCCTTGCACGCCATCCTTAATAAACAAAGGTGTGGGTGACATGCATTTTGTTTAACCACACTACATTTGCTTCTTAATTAGTGAATATTCATCTGTTATTGACGGCAGCTATGACACCCTCCCTGCTAACACGTTCTGTCATAAATAATCAATGAGGCTCTATTAATATTCATGAGCTGGAATCTGTGTAGTCATGTGCACTGATGCAGAGACAGGGGGAGTGTTGCTGCGAACTGAGATGAAACTCTGTGTATGTCTGTGTGTATACGTGAGCATAGGATACTTAGGCAAGAGGAAGAAGAGCATGCTGCTTACACACACTGCCCAGGCTTGTGCTTCCAGCGAACAGTGGCGTGTTTGTGTTCCTGCACTGGAGTGAGTGACTGATGAGAAACAGTAGTCAAGTCTGGAGGGTGCATCCCTGCCAGTGCATTTGCCTCTCAGTTCTTGGGAAATTAGCAGCATTCCTCCTTTATTATTTCTGATTAGAATGGGTTGCAATCTGTGCAGTTTTCAAAAGAGGGAGGAACACTACAAACTGCTCTATGAAGTTTCTCAGGTAAGTGCAGAAGAGGCTGCCAGCAGCTCTGTGAAAAGAATGTTGGGGTTTGGAAAGCACTTAATAAAGGTGTTTATTGTGTGTGTGTGTGTTTGCATGTGTGGGGTTGACTGTTAATTTGCAGGTTTCTCACCATTTCTGCTCAGTTTGACTTCCTGTGGTTTTCTTTTCAAAATGCTGTGCACCTATGCCAGATCCTCAGTCAGAAACCTGCATTATCCCTGAATGATATCCATAATGTGTACAGAGAGCTTTGGTAAATGGATTCTCTGTCATTTACCCAGATGATGCTTCTGGAGCTGTTAGGATTTCGCAGGGCTAGAGTGTCAGGTATTTTCAACTTAGCAAATGAAGTTTATGGCTTTGCATGCCACGGAGGTTATTGGGGTGCATGCTTTTTAAACTATACTTTAACAATAAATGAGGTGAACTATTTTTTTCTTTCGCCTGTTTTGAATAAGGGTAAAACTGCCTGTTTCCATTGGATGGTTCTTTTCTCATTCTATCCTGCATACTGTTTCTTTTTCCCATTAGGCAGAGCACATGTTTTATCATGCACTTATTCAGCGAGTGTCCCAGCAGAGGGAATGTTTCTGTGATCTGTGAACATGTGCTTACTCTGTAATCAGAGTAATAAAGGAGGGGGCAGTGTGCATAATAATCCGTCATTTTTGCACAAGTGCTATTGCATCCATATTTGATCTGCATAGATTTTGTTTTCATTTCGTCTGGCTGTGGAGATCTGTCAGATGAAAGTTTAGTGCCTTTCAAGATCAGTTCCGTTCCTCTTTGTAATTTGTCCTTGCTTTGACATCACTGTTGACAGAGTCTGAACACTTTCAGTTTTTGACTGCTCTGTTGGTGACGAGCGAGCGAAGGACTGAAGACAAAACAGCTTAGAATGTTGGTGGTCTGTTGGCACAGCAGTGGCGAGCTGCCCGTTGCCTGGCGCACCCCCCTCCCAAATTCTTCCTGACGTGATTCATTTCACAGTGGACTAATTACAAAGTGGATTCTCTGCACATGAAACATCCTCCTCAGTTGCAGTGTTAATGCACATTTTCATGGTAATGTGATCAGAGCCTCATTAGCCCGTTTCCAAAACGGTCCTCTGCATTAATTAAATATAAAAATGACTCTTTTTATCACCATGGAGGGGTGGGGGGGAGAGAAGATTAACATCATCAATTATGGCTGGGGATAATATCTCTGCCTGTTCCTTAAAAAAAAAAAAACACGCCCCACAAAGTAGCAACTACTTCCACTATCTTAAAAATTGCAGCTCAAGGAAGATAAGCTGGCAGTGGTTTTCTGCTCCAGAAAATGGGCTCTAGATGGAACACTTTCCTTCAGTTTAGAAGTATTTCCATCGTTATATTTTACCTGGCAGTTACAATGCAGGAGATAGAAAGTAGCTCTACTCTTCCCTCACCCCACTCTCTGAATAGCCAAAGAGCCCTAAAAGTACAAAATGTAAATAGCTTCATAGATTACAGTGCTGCAGATCAAAGAACCCAGACTGATTTTATAAGGAAACTGATCAAACCTTGCTCTGAATTTCATAAGGAATCTCTAACTACATTGGAAATAGGGAATATATTAAGGATATTTTGTGAAATTTGCTTGAAGTGGCATTGAATACTAAAGCTTTTTAAGCATGCAAAAGTGGCTGCCTTTGTTGAGGGATTCCAGAGGTATTCTTCCTTTCACTTGTTTGTTTCCTCCTCCACCAGACTTGCAGCTTTCATGATAAAGAAATGACAGAGGAGGGAAATGAATTACCACTTTCACTTTAACCCAGGCATTCGTCTGATAAGGTATAATCCCTGGAAGAATCTGAGTGAGTTTTCCAGGAGAGCAATGTGCAGTCAAACCTCCAGCCCTAAGCGTTCTGTATTGTTGGGGAAATGTCACTGAAAGGCATTAAAAAAAAGAAAGAAAGAAAAGCAATAGTGTGCCATATTCTGTGTGAATCGTTGGACTAGTTTCTGGTTTTGTTCCAGGATTTATGCATCCTTGTGATCACATGGCAGTTTGAACATATTTTAGGCAGCTTTCCTGGCTAGCAGCTTATGTTGTGCTCCATTTTACATACTTAAACAAAGATGAGGGTTCCACTAAGAGATGAGTTTAAGCCAATTTTAGTAACATTGTCAAGAAAGCAGTTCTTCATTTTTTTCCCTATGCATGTTGGAAAACAGTGAATCTATATGCATAAAGAATCATATTAGTTGGATGATGGTTTTGTTCTGGTACTGTTTAATGCCAGTATCCCTTCTTGGAGTTGGTTATGGTGCAACCCTTTGGAAAATGATGGCACTTGAAAATGTTCTTTATGGTTTTCCCATTAAACACTTCATCTTCTGAGCGAAATTGCTGTCATCAAATGATGTTTTAATTGCATTTTAATTGTGTGTGTGTGTGTTTATTATTTTAAAAGCCAGTCTCCTTCCGCGCGCGCATGTGTGTGTGTGTGTGTACATACACTTGGTGGCTCTGGGAGATTTGGACTCTGGTCCAAACTCTGCCATAGACTTTGTATGTGGTCTTGTGGTCTGTAAAGTGGGAATAGAAATGACATCTCTCAAAACTGTTTTGAGGGAACATACACCATCAGCATTAAAAAATAATTTCCTACTTGGAAGTACAAAAGAATAGCAGCATGAGTGGGGTGCTAGCAGGAGGTTAGGATGGCCAAATTTTCATGAGGTTACATTTTTAATGGAAAAGTGGGGCTTTGATGATTGAAAAATGTTCCCTGAAAGAACATCTGCCTTAAAATTGGTTTATGGAGAGGGGTGGAATTCACCTGTTCACAGTCCTGATACGTTGTTTCTTCAAGGGCTTTATAATTCAAAGCAGAATTCTCTCCATTGTGTAGTAAGCACAGTGAAATCACAGTTTCACATAGGTAGCCCTGTCTGGTTCATTTGATGTCATCACTGAAGGTGAATGAAGATCTCCAGGTCTTATTCCAAATGGGTCTGGAGAGGAAAACATTTCTCTGTCTCCTGGGGAATCTGGAAATGTTGCTCCCCTTCTTGCCACACTGAATTGGCAGTTTTGGTGTCTGCCAGTCATGGGGCAAGGCTTTCACCCTGAGCTATTTCTCCACTAGAGTAATGCACTGGTTGAGAAGAACATCAGTGGGAATGTATGTCTGGATGTAATTCAAAATGTGCATCCCATTGAAAGGAATGCAAAGCTGATGGATGTGTATGCAGATACCCGCTGTCTGATAGATGACAATTCCTCTCATTTGCTGCTACTTTTAATGGGAAGTTCCTTCATCTGAATATGCAAGCCAGGTAAGGGTGTCTCAGGCACCTAATGGACTTACTGTGTTTGATAGTCACCCCATCAGCCTGCACTTTGGGTCTCTGGATGCTGTTTTTTTTAAATGCCAAATCAGTGCATAATAAGACCTCCCTTATAGTGGATAAGGCATTTAATCTGGCATGGATAACATAACCATGGTGGAAGAATGTCAAGGCATTAGTCTCTCCCAGTTGTACTAACTCTGCAGTGCTTGGTTCAACATTAGGGCAGATTAACAGCTGCCCTGATGTAGCCATGAGGAGTAAGAATTCTGTCTCTTCAGGCTCTGTTTTTATCTATTTTTCTGGTGTGCATATTCTGTGTTGGGCTATAGATTGGAATTTTTGTTGGTGTACCCCATACCCTGCTATTCAGCAGTCTCCGAACCTAAGCTGACAAGGGGTATGATGTTGGTTTTGGGGAAGAACAGAACCTTTTCTCGAAAGCTCAGGATCCATGGCCTGCATGGGTGTCATGGATCCACCAACATATCATCAACCAACACATATACTGGGTATATTGTAGTAGTAGTAGTAGTAGTAGTTTTTTCAGCCAGTCGTGGAAATAGTTGCTTGAAGGCAGAAGACTTTGAATCATTTCCTTTGTTATTGTCCAACACCTCCTGCTAAGGTTTAAATTGAGAGTGGCTGCAAGGATTGGGCAGCCTTAGGGGTCATGAAGGCAGCAAAGATACATGATCTCACTATTCCTATTCAGTCTTCTATCCACTGTCCATGGGAGTTATTTTAGAGTTGCCTGGGCCTGTTGCATGCTAAGGACATTGTAGACAAACATGATAGTCGCTACACCACAGAAGTGCACCCACATGCTAAGGACATTGTAGACCTGTTTGAGGCCTGCTATAACATATTCGGTAGACACGTCCATGATAAAAGATCTTGCATCTGCTGAGATTTATACTCTAGTGATGCAGCAGGTGAATCAGAGAAGCATCTAGAACATAGCCTGGTTCAGTTTTTCTGGCTAAGTTTCGGCTGGTACACCTTGAGAATCTTGACAAGGTGCTTGGACAGCTTTGTGTAACTACTGTTGCACTGAAAACTAGCAGGGAAGGTACAGCCTGAAGGGCCAGGGTGGTGATTAATGAAGTGGTCCAATGCCATTGAAAGGAATAGCAATAAAGAAATCTTCTCCGTACCCTCAAGATCTTAACAACTTTAGGCTGTTGGAATATGTTCCTTTCTTGGGCAAGGTCCTTGAAATGGTGGTGACCAACCAGCTCCAAGCACTCTTGGATGATAATGATTATTTGGGTCCATTTCGGATGGGAGTTCAGGTTACACATGGAAACTGCTTTAGTCACCTTATAAGATGATTTAAGTCAGGAGAGAGGAAAAGAAATGTGACCATGTTGTGATAGCCCTGGATCTCTTGATGGCTTTTGCTACCATTCATCACGGTAGCAAAACTCTAGCGCAACTATCTGAGCTGGAATTATGGAGTACTGTATTACAGTGCTTTTGTTCCTACTTGGACAACTAGCTCCAGAAGGTGGTCCTAGGGAATATTGATCCGGTCCATAGATTCTCCAGCTTGGAATTCACCAGGGGATGACTTGGTTCCCCATGCCATTCAACATCTACATGAAACCACAGAGTAGGTTCATCTGGAGTTTTAGAGTGAATTGCCATGATAAGTATTTCTGCTTTTCATGTCAATCT